GGCCGGTCCATGGGAGCAGCATCGCAGCTACCGTCCTCTGCTGCTCTCTCCTGAGCTGTGTCTGTGCGTTGGTAAGTCTGCGCCGCTGCACCGCCTCGCTCTCCGTCCTTTCGGGTCTGGCCATGCTTGGCACAGACACGTGGTCTTCACTCGGGTTCACTTAGCAGTGAAGGCCTGGCAACTCCATGTGTAACTCAGCTTAGGAGTGTCTATATTACTGAAGCCCGTGAAAGCCCTACCCAAGGGCCAGGGACCCCCAGTGCTAGCTGCTGTACAAACACAGAACAAACAGACGGGTCCCTGCTTAGCCACTTGAGTTGGCGTCTATGAGGCTACGTCTATATTACAGCACGGGGAGGAGGGGGACTTGCAGTTTGTGTAGGGGTACCTGTGCTGACTTTAATCTAGCCAGCTCATCTACTATATAGCTGAAGGAGTTTGTCTGTCTGTCCATCGGCCTGGCTGTGTTCAAGAACTCCTCTTAAACGGTAAGAGCTAGGACCAGCAAATTTGTTATGCAGCTTCCTCTTATCATAACTTACATACAATATGATGGGGGCTAATTGTCCATCGGCCTGTCTGTGTTCAAGAACTCCTCTTAAACAGTAAGAGCTAGGACCAGCAAATTTGTTATGCAACTTCCTCTTATCATAACTTACATACAATATGATGGGGGCTAATTTAGCTACAACTAATCTGGAAAGAGATCTTGGAGTCATCGTGGATGGTTCTCTGAAAATGTCCACGCAGTGTGCAGCGGCAGTCAAAAAAGAAAACAGGATGTTAGGAATCATTAAAAAAAGGGATAGAGAATAAGACGGAGGATATCTTATTGCCCTTATATAAATCCATGGTACACCCACATCTTGGATACTGCGTACAGATGTGGTTTCCTCATCTCGAAAAAGATATACTGGCATTAGAAAAAGTTCAGAGAAGGGCAACTAAAATGATGAGGGGTTTGGAATGGGTCCCATATGAGGAGAGATTAAAGAGACTGGGACTTTTCAGCTTGGAAAAGAGGAGATTAAGGGGGGTATCTTAATCTACTTCCAGAGTGGATGAAGGTAACTGGGGCAAGAACCCACTAAGGGCCTGTCTACACTAAGAAATTATTTCAAAATAACTAAATTCAAAATGATCCCTCCCCAGATAACAAAAGCGAAGCAGCGTGTCCCCACTACGGGGAAGCCTGGAAATGAGTCCGAAGGAGGCTCTGTTATTGTGGATGTGCTACCTCTGCTTAGAGCACCAGGAAGCATTGGGGAGTAATTACTCTGAATTACTCTGGGGAGTAGTTATTTGGAAATAGCGGCAGTGGAGCATCCACACAACTGCTATTTTGAAATAACTATTTTGAAATGCTTCAGAAGGGGAGCCGAGTCAGGGTATGTTTACACTTGCACCTTCTTTCGAGAGAGGGATGCAAATGAAAACATTCGAAATTGCAAATGAAGCTGGGATTTAAATATCCTGTGCTTCATTTGAATATTCGCATTATGGCGCTATTTCAAAATAGCGCTATTTTGAAATAACACACGCTGTTAAGACACAGTTATTTAGAGAGAAAACCCTTCTCTTGAAATAACCCTTATTCCTCATGCAATGAGGTTTACCAGTTATTTTGAGAGAAGGGTTTTCTCTCAAAATAACCACGTCTTAATGGCGTCTGTTATTTCGAATTAGCGCCATAACGTGAATATGCAAATGAAGCACGGGATATTTCAATCCTGGCTTCATATGCAATTTCGAATGTCTTCACTTGTATCCCTCTCTCGAAAGAGGGTGCAAGTGTAAACATATCCTTAGTCTGTAACAGGAAAAACTTAAAAAACAACAAATAGTCTGGTAGCACTTTAAAGACTAACCAAACATGTAGATGGTATCATGAGCTTTCGTGGGCAAAACCCATTTCTTCAGATGACCGGAGTGTTTGAAATGACTGTTATTCCCTGAGGAAAGTGGGAGAACAGATTTCAAAATAGCCATCTCGTTATTTCGAAGTAACAGGCTTAGAAGTGTGGATGGTCCGCTTATTATTTCGAAATAACTCCCTAGTGTACACCAGCCCTCAGAAGCTACGTCTAGACGGGCATGATTTTCCGGAAATGCTTTTAACGGAAAAGTTTTCCGTTAAAAGCATTTTCGGAAAAGAGTGTCTAAATTGGCACGGACGCTTTTCCGCAAAAAAGCCCCGATGGCCATTTTCGCGATCGGAGCTTTTTTGAGGAAAACAAATCTGAGCTGTCTACACTGGACCTTTTGCGCAAAGTTTTGCACAAAAGGACTTTTGCCTGAACGGGAGCAGAATAGTATTTCTGCAGGAAGCACTGATTTCTTACAGTAGGAAGTCAGTGCTTTTGCGGAAATTCAAGCGGCCAGTGTAGACAGCTGGCAAGTTTTTCTGGAAAAGCGGCTGATTTTCCAGAAAATCTGGCCAGTCTAGACACAGCCAGAGTGTTTTTGCTACAGTAGCTTAAACCACTTCCAAAGTGGACGAAGATAATTGGAAGAAGAATCCAATAAGAATGTCCACCCCTGGAGTTATTCCATGATTTCTGTTCAAGTGTAACTCATGTGTCGACGTAGCCTGTGGGAGGTAAGGTTTTCTAATCCAACGGAAAATCAATGGAAGTTGTCACCTCATTCCTTTAGGTCTGGTCTATACCTAAAAGATTTGCCAGCATAACTCTGGCAGTTAGGAGAGTGAAAGAAATAAAAACACCCCCTAACAACACTGCCATGCTGGCAAAAGTCAGAGCATAGGTGCAGTTATGCAGCAAAAAAAGTGCCTTTGTTAATATAGCTTGTTTCGACTCAGGGACTGGTGTAAACTATAGTGCTGTGATGGGCAGCATCAGCTAGTGACAGCTGTCTGAGGGCCTCCCTTCGTCTAAGTGGGCTGCAAGGTAGTAACCGAGACAGTCTCCTGGAACAGGGCAGTTTTGCTCACTGCACTTGCGTGCCTAGAATTTGCAGGGTGTGCCGACTGAACCGTAGCAGCGCTGGGATGGGACGCAGAGCACGGCTCTCACGGTCACTGGGGCATGCAATAATCAGCACACAACTTACTTCCCGGGCCCTGGCTTTACGTGTGTGTCATTTTAGTAACACCGGTAGGAAAAAAACTGAGGCGGGCAGAGCCCATAGGCAACAGTAAACACAATGTCTCATGGGCCATACAGACGGGCTGCATGCGTTCTCCAGGCCGCGGGCTGCATGCGTTCCCCAGGCCGCAGGCTGCACACCATGAGTGGCAAAAGAATTCATTTTTACCAGCATAAAATGCATCTATTCTTGGTGGGTTTGCAGGTACAGCTGTATCAGCAAATCATTTCTAAGGTCTTTGACTCCTTGGAAAAGTCCAGTCTTAAAGTAGGTTGTTTCCAGGACAAAAATATCTAGTAATAAAATAAAAATGAATGGTATGCTCTCGTTTTCCCCTAATTGCCTATTCATTTTTCGGCACCTCTCCCGTCCATCACCCTGCTTGCTGTGCAGCCGTCTTTGCAGGTATGGGTCCCGGGACTGGCTTGACAAAGTCCTGGCTGGGTTGATTTAGTTGGGATTGATCCTGCCTTGGGCAGAGGGCTGGACTTGATGACTCCTGAGGTCTCTTCCAGCCCTAGGATTCTAGGATTTGATGACTGTGGTCCATGGAGCATTTTCAGGTTTCCCATAAACAGCTGGCTGGTCATATGACACTGGGGCCTCCTTGTTTCCAGTTGCCAAATTGCCTTCAAAGATAAAGTGGGAGGCACTTACCAGCAGAAACCTGCTGCAGGCTGGTTGCTGCTCCATGTGGCTCCTCTCCAGGCAGGAGGGGGAGGAGAAGAGGGAGGGAGGGAGACTTCCTACACTGCCCCTGCTCCCAGCAAAAATTCTCAGCTCCTATTGGCCAGAAATTGAGAAATTGGCCAATGGGCGCTAAGAGATTTTGGTGGGGGGGGAGCGCGGGAACAGCATGAGAAGTCTCCCTCCTCCGCTGTCTGGAAAGGAGAACAGCTGGCTTTTTAAGGTGTGAGCTGTTCTCTGCCTAAGCGTTCCAGCAAGGCAGCTGCAGGCTGGATCTGTTGGCTTGGCGGTCTGGATCCAGCCCTCTGGCAGCCTCTTGCCCACCCCTGTCCTAGCTAATAAGAAGCTACAGACGGTGCCTGAGACAGTCGGGCTGGGGAGGGGCAGGCAGGGCTGGGGAGGTCTGTCCAGGCAGACTCCCAGGCTGAGGCCTTGCTCTCAAGGCCTGAGGGCACTAGGGCTGTAGGGGGGCTGCAGGAGGCAGCAGGTCCACCCCTTGTCAATGATGAGTGGCCATTTCTGACTGCAGTTTGCCCCGAGGCAGAGGCTAGGCGACAGGTCACCGAGGCAAGGTTGGTATAGGGGCTTGAGGTTCCCCGGGAGGGCCCCAGAATGGGGGGGCACTGCTGTGGGGCAGTACCCTGAGGAAAGGGCACCATGGGTGGGAAGGGACGTGGGGCCTAAACCAGCGCAGTAGAAGACAGGTAAGTGAGGACGAGACACCAGCTAGCAGCAGGTGTTCCGAGGCTGAAGAGTTAATTCCCAAGGAGACCAGCAGGAGGTGCCATGGTGATGAGTCATGACCTGTTACAAGCTAAGTATGAGTCAGCAGTGTGATGCTGTTGCAAAAAAACAAAAACAAAAACCATGATTCTGGGCTGCATTAACAGGAGTGCTGTGAGCAAGACACGAGCAGCCATCTTCCGCTCTACTCTGCATCCATTAGACCTCAACTGGAGTATTGTGTCCAGTGCCGGGTGCCACATTTCAGAAAAGATGTAGAAAAATTGGAGAAGGTCCAAAGAGCAACCCAAATTATGAAAAGTTTAGAAGACATGAGCTATGAGGGAAGACGGAAAGATGTGGGTTTGTTTTCTCTGGAAAAGATAAGACTGGGAGAGGACAAATACCTAAAAGGGTGTTACATGGAGGAGGGAGAAAAATTGTTCTCCTTAACCTTTGATGACAGGACTAGAAGCAACGGGCTTAAATTGCAGCAAGGGAGGGTTAGGTTGGACATTAGGGAGAAACTTCTGCAATGAGTTGCCTAGGGAGG